GAGAAGTTTTCTCTTCCTTCAAATTGCGATATGTTTGCTTTGCCCAAAATGGTACCTGTACTGCTGCCACTGAAAGGACCCTCCCTTTGGTCCATCTAAGCATATATTGGGGGATGTTGGAGCATGCAGAAGGACAATAATCATAATAGGAGGACAGGTTTGTACAGGACTAAGTGGTCCTTCAGATACCCTAGTCCTAAACCCTGGAAGTCAGGGCTGTACAGAGAATCAGGTGCTTCCTATACCTAACCTTCGTTGTAGTATAGGTTGTAGCATTATAAACCAGTTTAGTTTACTAGTACTCTTAAAATAATAATAAATGCAATAAAGCTTGCCTATACCAGTTAAAGCAGCCTTTCTCAACTTTGGGTCCCTAGATCTCATTGGACTACAATTCCCATCATCCCTGCTAGCTAGGAATGATGGGAGTTGTAGTCCAACAACAACTGAGACCGGAGGTTGAGAAAGGCTGAGTTAAAGAATAATAAACCAATCTCTGCTAATTATACTTGGCACTTGATTGTCTTCATATACATTATGAATGAACCATAAGTTACAGTGTGGCTTTTGCAACTGGAACTTGGGTTTCTGTTAGAGCAAATGTGGTCCCAACAGCTACTTGAGCTGCATTATAAGCCAGATATTTGTAACAGAATTTGTAAGGTCAGAAATAGTTCTCAACTGCTTTGTTTTTCTGCTTCTTCAATAGCAAGCTCCTGAGTCATAGTCCCTATTCCATTGAAAAAAAAGTAAACACATTCAGCAAGTTCCTCTTGAGGTTCAAAATGAAGTCTGCTTCCTTCTAGATGCAGTGCTGTGGACTTGTGCTGACTAATTTAATCTCAAATGTAAGCTTCCTATTTTCCCTTAACTGAAAAGCAATACTCCAATATTTCATCCTGCCTGACTGCTGCTGTGAATTTAGCAGACTAAAGCCTAAAAGTAGAGGCTCTTTTTGGTTAGTTGGTAATAACCGGTTACTTTCCAATTCAAAGTCATTGTTTGGCAATATATACTGTCTATATTGTGTACCAAGTTTACCTTTACCTTACCAAATATAGAGTGGTGCATGAGGTTTTGTCCACTCCAATCCATCCATCCAATTGGACTAAAAGATAGCATGTGCAGAAGAATTATTCGAATAGCTCAAATCTGTGGGTATAAGATCAGATCAAGGAACATAGCCTGCTATAAAGCCCCAAATTACTGTTTTTCTTGCCAAAGCTGTCCTTAAATGTTGTTGACTCCTTTCACTTCAGTTGTAGAAGAGGAGGAAGAAAAGTTATTTGATGTTAAAGAGGAACTTTGTTCATAAAATATTTGGTACTTCCCCTGACTCATATGCCAAACACAGAGTTTCCCACGTACAAAGGGAAACAGTTTGCAAATGACATGCCCTCAGTGGGTTGGATCCACCGCCTGCAGAATAAGGTCTTTCCCACAGTGGTTTAACACTCTCTCTCTCTCTCTCTCTCTCTCTCTCTCTTCACAAGTAGAGAATTTTACCTCTCAGAGAGAAACAGGGATTGCCTAACAAATCGGATCCTCCTAATTAAGGGTCCACGTTGCGCACGGGCCCAAGGTGCCCCCCCCACTATCCTGGGGGGGGTGGGACTGAGCCCAGCCCACGCGATGGCCCCATGATCAACCATGGCCTATTGGCCAATCAGAGATTGGTGGTGTGATTGTGGAGGCATATAAAAGGCGGCAACACATTTCTGGGAATTCACCTGCCTTTGTGACGCCGAAGACCCACCCATGTCTGCTTTGGCGTTGCTCTGGACTTCGGTTGGCCACCTGCTTTGGAACAGGAGCTGGGTAGGAATTTTTTCCATTTGGCAAATTTGCACTGGCCATTTGGTTTTCTCCTACCCCCTTAGCAATTGTCACAACTTTTGTAAGGTTTGGCAGTTAGGCATTGGCTTATTGTGATGTGGGGGAGGGGAGGTGCAGCCATCACCTGCCCCTCCAGGTACAAGGGTATTCCATTAGAGGAATCTGTGGGTCTGGATCTTGTCCAAAGTCCACTTGAGGGGCTAGGGCCATGCCAGGACTCAGCGGGAACCCCGGGGTGAGCTTCAGTTGGTTGCCATCGAAGGAGCGCCCTCGTTTGGTTGTTTACCCTTCCAGACTTCCTGCAAGGTGGGTAGGAGTCAGATATAGTTATTGCCAATGCCTAAGCCAATACCACTCACAATGCTGTAATCAATAAAGTTGTGGCCTAAACTTTTGCCCATTAACCTTAAACTAAAATTCTGTGTCAGTGTGTATTTATTTATCCTTGAGGGTGCACCAGGGTCTTGACGCGCAACTCTCAGTGCCCTTAACTACATCTCCCAGAATTCTTCAGAGGGAATAATGGCTGTTTAAAATGGTATCCTAGTGCTTTCAACATATGGTGTGAATGTGGCTTAAGATTGCAACCACTGCCCACGCCCCAGTCTCCAAAAATTGAACCAATATGCATACTACATAGAAGTGGTGTGTGTGTGTGTGTGTGTGTGTGTGTGAGAGAGAGAGAGAGAGAGAGAAAGAGAGAGAGAGAGAGAGAGCTTTCACCCCTCAGCTTCCATTTGTTCAATTCTACATGGATGAACATATAAACAGAGCTAAAAGTTAAAATGTTAGGGAAACAACAGGGACGACGTATTATTAGACCTTCTGTTAAATCAGCTGTGGGGAACTGTTGGTCCTCCAGATGTTTCTGAGCCACCACTCACGTTACCCTTGGCCATTGCTCATGCTTGTTGGGTCCAATGGGAGTTATAGTTCAGTAACATCTGGAGGATCAAATGATCAGCACACCTATGTTAAATATTCCAAGACAAACAGCTTGAAGAACACATCCGATCCCTTGCTGTTGTGAGAGTAGAGCAAGTCTTCATCAGTGCCTCAGCTCAAACTTCACTCTTATTTGCTCTGATAAAGGGTGATGACCTGTTTTAAGAGCAGACATCTAGTGCTATTTTTCTAGAAAAAGAGGTGCCGGAACTCACCATGTAAAGCCTCAGTCGTTCTCTTAGAATGGCAATGGCACCCACCTGAGAGGTGCCAGAACTGAGTTCCGGTGAGTTCCAGCTGAGGATTAAAGCCCTGGGCATGACAATATTTTAGTAGTAGTCAGCATATTACTAGACACTTTGTTTAAATTGAGTTTATCAATAGACATGAAGCTGGGTCCTTACTGTAACGCTAGGGGGCAGTGTTACTCTATTAAATCTGGAGCAGCTGTGCCTGCAAATTTGCAGCAGTTTTGGGTGATGCTGATCTGGCAGCTTGAAAGAAAGGTTTTTTAAATATATATGTGTATGTATGTATGTTCAGTAAGTTAACTGCAACCCTGTTTAACTAAACGTGCTCTCGCTGAAAACCATGAAATTCCCCCCTGCAGCACTTGGCAAAGAGGTGGTAAGTAGTTAGAATTTTAATGTTTTCCTTTCGCATTAAGACTGTATGTTTTAACTTAATGGTAGATAGTAAATAGAAAGCTAGCTAGTGAGGAGATATGTAAGCATTACAGCCCGAGATCTTTAAACACACTCTGTGAACGCTGCAGGAAACCCTTCAGTAACACCACCTCTTCACCTTGTTAACGGGCACTTAAACTAGAGCAGATGGTGGTTGGTTTGTACATCTACATATATATGAAAAGAAGTGGTTAAAACCTAGCAGCATGGGAACAGAAGTGCCACAGAAGTTGTGAATGCAGCAGCTGCCTGATGCAACCCAGATTCTGCTCCTGGCACATCTGAGGCAAGGACTTGGCAGCAAGTCTCAGTCCCCTTCAGCGTAAGCAAGCCCCTCTCATCTTCCAATGTATGTATCTCAATTTGAGATGGGAAAAATAATGCAAAGCGGATTCTGAACTTTGCTACTGGAGAAAATCTAGTGTGGCGAAGTCCTCTGTTTCTCAAGTATTTCGTTCCCTTTTACCACCACCACTCCCCCAGCTGGCTTTAAAGCAAGGGCTGGAAACTTACAGCCTGGGCGCTAGGTCCAGCCCAGGGCTTTGACCCCTTTGCTGAATTCTATTCTTGTGAAGATGGAGATCAAGCCATACTGGGGACTGCCAGGCAGCTGAAGAGTGGGGGGGGGGAAACAAGGGGGCTGGAGTCTGACTCTGGAGAGGGTAGTAGTGGTTTGTAGGAAGCTGTACCAGCCAGGAGGCAAGAATGAGAGGCAGGGGAAACTTCAGAGTGGAGCACAGGATGGGTAAGGAGAAGAGGAGAAAGAGGCAGGTCAGACAAGTGAAGGACTGTGTCCCTCTCCTCCACCACTGTCTCCCAGAACCAGGAGGGAATTGAAAAGGGATGCATGGAGAAAGTTTCCACACAGGCACAGAAGCTTCAGCAGGAGTTTGCCTGGACCTATGTCAACTATTTGGGTGATCACAGCTCATTTGACATATAACTTTTGGTTCCTTGCAATGGGCTTGGTCTTCTGAGTCTCTGTTCAGAGGACCAAACAGTGTGATCATCTGCTAAGAAGCTTGCATTGGCCCAGTTTTAGAGATGCCTTGAAGCAAATCTAGGGATGTTCTGGCCCAGCACACAGTGAAGATATCCCATTGGTAGTGTCCCTCTATTGTTAGCCAATTATGCAAGTGGTTTGCTGTTCTGGAAATTTCAACACCACCATCCCAAAGTGCAAAGAAGCAGGTTGGGGGTGATTGGCATGGCATACCACCCAACATTTCTCCAATGAAAATAGGGACATCCTAAGGATAAATGAGACATTCTAGGATCAAATCAGAAGCTGGGACAGCTTCTATAAATCAAGGACTGTCCCTGGAAAATAGGGACACTGAGAGGGTCTGGCATGAACAGGCGTAAGATATGTTAATGCTGAACTGAGATCAGCAAGCTAATGAAATCTTCTATAACAATGTACCAGATGTCTCTGTGTTACAAAAACACAGACTAACAGTATCTTATATAAATTTAGAATTTGGATGCAAGCAACGAGTATAAAACAAAGTGATTCTTTTTTTCCCCTTTCACCCCCGAAGAAAACTCCATAAAATTTTCACAAGCCCTCTGTCTGTAAGATCAAGGTGATTCATTTATTAGGGGTGTCCAAATCTGATTTTCTTTATTCAGACCAGGGTGAATGAAAACCCAAAGGAGGGAGGCAGCAGCTCCTTTTCAAATGATGACTCCACATGCTTCCCCCTGCTGCGAGGCACCTGCTGCTAGCAATGACAGAGCATTATTAGGGAGGGATTTATGAGCTGTGCCCAGATTAAAAATTAATATAGAAACTGGCCTCATTCAATTTTGGGAGGCGGCATTTGTTTTCAAGAAAATAATTCATACTGCTCAGGAGGGAGAGAGGGGAATTTTCACTAAAAAGAACGGCATTCAGTGGGAGGCCCCCTTTAAAGAAATCTCTTGGAGCTCCATGGCAGTATCTTGAGAAAATACTGACCATGGATTAAGCTGAAGCCATAGGGGCTGCCACAAGTGGACAGGCAAGTGGGTGTCCTGGTTATTGCTACATGGGTCTAAAGGGCAGTTGCAAATATGGTTGACAGTATTCCAGGTGTGATTCCAATGCACCTTCTGCTTGCTGTGTTGCTGCTGGGCATCTGTCTTGCTGGGAATGTCTCTAGGGGTGAAGTCAAACTGCTGTGTTAGCAGCACCAAAGTGACCTCCCCAGGGTTCAAGCCTGGGCAGTGCATATGGACGTCCTGGGCTGCCCAGATGACAAGACCCCCCCCCTCTTGGCCTCGCTGATGTGATGCTTTATAGCAGGCCAGTCTGTTTGTCTGGTCAGTCCAATACTGTCTACTGGTTGCAGCTCTCCAGAGGGAGTCTTTCCCATCGTCAACTACATACCTGATCTTTTAACTAGAGATGCTAGGGATTGAAGCTCAGTGTTCTCAGCATGCAAAACATGTGCCCTGCTACTGATCTGTGCCACGTTTTCCTGGAAGGCAGCAAAGGTTTTCGTTCTGGAAGAAGGTAGATGCAAGGTTTTAGCAGAGGAAAAACTGTGGCTATGTGTGGTCCCACAACAGATCCACTAATATGTTTGTAATTATACATTAGGCCTGCTCTTGGTAACACAAAACTTGCTGAGAAGATGGTGCGTGAAGTTTGGCTCTGCTAGACTATTGCTTAGTCAGCCTTTCAGCTGACTTCCTTCACTGCCATGTTTACTGTACTTTGAGGCTTAATAGACCCACAAGCACACACCCTTGATTGGGAGAATTGGTGGTTGGATGGAAGAAGAAAGAAATGAATGTCTGTGGGAACTATACCTATGAGCAACAGAGAAAGAATGTACACTTGTGCGCACACATGGGGAGGAGAAGGCCAAGTGGATGTAATATAACGGGGATTTCAGCAAATTAAGGCAAGCAGAAGACAATGCAGTGGATAGGCATGAGAAAACACAGACATCTCTGCAGTAGGCTTCATCAAAGCTGTTTCTTGTGAATATGTAAAATGAAGGCAGGCAACAAAGATTCCAATTAAATAAAAGGATTTCTATTTGAGGACTCAACACCAGTTCCTACCACATTTCCAAACATTAACTTTTTCCTTCTTTGTGAGCTTCCATTAGATATTCAGAGTAAAGCTCTCTTACCAAGTTAATCCTTGCCATGGACTTGAGTGGTAACCATCACTGTGGCTTGGCACAATTCCACAGGGGCAAGCATACTTGGGAAATTATACATGTGTTTTAACATATACATTCAAATCAAAACCAGAAATGGACATGTAGCGGAAGAATAAAGGAGAAATGTTATCCTTCATTCCAAATTAGTTACTTGGAACATTTTATAGAGTGAAGGCTGTAAGCCTATACACTTGCAGTTGAGAATCAGACTTTAAGACTAGGATTTACCTAGCTTTTGTTTATATCTCATTGGGAGCCCTTATTAGGGCCTGGCCACCCCACAACCCCATTCATTTTATTAAGCTGGCCCTTTTACAGCTTAAAAGTTCGTTCATCATTCTGGACCTCTGAAGCCAAATAATCCAAGAGGCATTGTCTCTTGTCTGCACCTATTGGTCTAATGTGACCATCCCTGGCCCTGCTCCTTAATTTTATCAAGACTGAATTTAATTCCTTGGGTTGCATTCTACTTCCATAAAGAGGTAACTGTTGCAGAACAACTTTCACACACGATTATGATGCTTGATTTTTTTAAAGTAAAAATCTGGCTATTTCAGTTGCTAACAGGTTCTTGGAATCACCCTCATTGGGAGAAGGAGAACCTGAGGAACATCACCCCTACCCACCCCCATGATAACTTGGATTACCAAAGGTATTTGGTAACAGAACTGTGTTGTGACTGAAGCATCAGGTTTCTAGAAACTGGAACCCTGGACTCCAGAAAGACACCACTACACAGCTTCCAGAAAGCAAGTCTGTCCTAGTGCTGAGCTTTGTGTCAGATGTATGAACATAAGTATAGAAGGCATTACACATTCTCCATACCAGTCAACAAATGGCCCTGTTTTACAAGAGGAGGAGTGTTGCCCCCAAACGAGGTTAGATCCCCATCAGCCTAAAGTTTCCCATATGTAATGGAATCCCATTGATTAGTAAGAAAGCTGGGTTTCTTTCATTCTTGGAAACAATGGGAAGGGTAGACAGTTCTCAGTTCTACATGTTAATACATGCATAGCACCATTGCCACTCCATAGTGGTCCCACTTAAAGTAACCAACATAACTAAATTATTGTAGATTCATTAATTTCAGCGGGTCTCCTCTGAGTAAAACTTAGTTAAATACCACCCACAAGTTCCTTAGCATGAGATCCTTTAAAACGGCCTCTTCTCCAATTGTGTCTCCTGGAATCTAAAAATTTATAGAGTCTTTCCCAGCCTAGTTCCTTCCAGATGTCACTGGACTCCAACTCCCATCACCAGACCATTGACTATGCTGGCTGGAGCTGATGGGAATTGGAGTCCAACAACTGGAAGGAATTAGACTGTGGAAGTTGAGCTTAGGTTTTTCTTTGGAATATACTTAAGGGATCCCTGAGAAGAGCAATGCTGAAAAGAAAACCTCAAAATCCCCAACATTCAGAAATGGCTTGTGCAACCTGGTCACCAGCTTTTGCTGCAGAATGAGGCAATGTTCGTTCAGTATATTATAGAGTTCTAACTCTGGAAATTGGGTGCAGTTTCACCCATCCTGATGGTTCAAGACTTGAACCAGCATGCTTCATAGCTGGCCTCCTGCATGTGCCATAGAGTGTCGCTAGGGGAAAGTGTGTGCCTAATATTATTGACCATTCTCCCCTGATTTCATAGGACACCACACATAAGATGCGACAAAAGAGTGAAAGACCGACTCAGGAGGAGAAAAGGTCTGAAAAATCCAGAGAAAAGGGAAGGGATGTTGGAATGCTTGAATGTAGCAGCTTTGTACCTTGAAAACAATATATATAAGCCACATAAAATTAGAACCTGGCCTGGAAACTATTATTTCCAAAAAGTCTTCCAATATTAAGATAGGACATGGCATGTTGATCTCATTTCTGGAGTTTGACTCCTCCACTGTTCTCAGCAAATGACAAAACAATGGTTTGCCTAACACACTTGGTCCTTCGTCCCTCCACATGGCATTTCAGCAGACAGATGTGCAGTTCAGTTCTGTGGGTTCCTGCATGGATGCTGTCCCCAGCCCTTCCGGTCCATCTACTATCGTGGGCTCACTGGAACATTGCCTGTGGTTTAAGCTGGGCTGCAGGAGGAGGCATGTGTCGCCACTGTCTGGTTCCTCCACCACCATCCCAGAGTGCATAATGGAAGCCATGGCCAACAGCTGGATATCAGAGTGAGCGTTGGCAACAGTGTGGCGACGGATGTTCCCACACTTCTCCAGATATGCCTCGCCCTCCTGCTCAGTCAGAGGCGTCAAGGCAGTCTCGCTGACTTGTCGGTCTGCCACAGCGTGAGAAGAGAAGCTCAGCCCATTGGGTTTGGCACGAGGTCTATGATACCTTCTCTCTGGAAAATAAGAAGGAAGGCATGCAGATTAATTGTGGACTGCATACAAATCCAAGAGCAACCGACAGTGCAATTTTTCAGAAAACTTCCCTAGTTTTCTTCCAATGTGAGCTGTGACATATCTTTGACAAAGGAATGTAAGAAAGTGCATCATTCTGCCTAGGCAGGAATAGTCATGTATGGACATGTGAATGTATATATACACCAAGAGAGAGAATAAAAAAAACTATTTAATCCTTCCTTCAATATTGTTATCCAGCAGAGGAATGGGGAAGGGATTATGATTGTTGTTGTTTTATGTACATATATAATTATTTCTCCAGCATTGGTAATTTGTTTACAAACATTTGCATCAAGTGACTCCAGAGGTTGTACTTATTTGCATAACATTAGTTTCTAATCTTTCACCAAATTAATTGGGTTGAATTTCGCAACAGGGAAGCAGGGTTTTTTTTATTCCTGTATTTTCTAACCATGCAATCCTATCTTTGCATTTACAAGAATCTGAAAAATGACAGCCTTCATCTGCACTGCTGTTTGTGCCTTGGGTTCAGGATCACATCCACCCACCCATCCATATGCAGCATCCCTGTTTTCAGACATTCATACCAAATGTGCAAATGTCAGGAATGGAGATAGAAAGCATGGTCCCAGTTCCCCCTACATGTGGAGAATAAGGACCATGATCTGTGAATAAGGAGCACGGCAGTAAAAGTAGCTTATTTCATTGGGACTCCAATTCTCTTCTAGTTGTAGGCCTGCCTTCCCTGTCAACGACAAAACTGCTATTCCAAGAGCCCCAGTGTTGTATTCAACTTTGAGTCAAAGTAGACCTACTGAAATTAATAGATCTAAGTTAGCTGTGACCACTAATTTCAATGGATTAACATTAGTTGACTGCAACCCTATAAGGACTGCTTCTTTACCCACCTGCTATGAAATGCTGCCATGAAATGGAGGGGAAGGGAGATTAATAACAAGGTACAGATAATGGTGATCAGCCAAATGATTCATGAAAGCATGCTAAGATGCTTGTGAGATGGGCTAGAAGGATGAAAGTGTCCTCTTGGAAGGAATCCAGTCTGAGACATTATGTGCAAGATGTCTTTTTTGTTTATCCACTGGCCTACTAGGGGATGACCGATAGTTGGCTGGTCATACTACACAGGTGAGCACTGCCAACAATCACAACCGAAAGGTGTCAGCTAGGGAGAAACTGAGGGCTGCAGCCAACACTCCTCCCTTTACTCCCCAAAACTGTTCCATAGAGTTAGGGAAACCCTCATAACAGATTAGGGGGCACACAAGGAGAGGAAGTCCATTACAACACACACACACACACACACACACACACACACACACTTAGAGAAGAGGTCTCTGGTTAAGGCTTTGTTTGTATATCTCTTGAAATGTTACGCCAACCCTTGGGTGTATTAGAGTGATATATTGCACAATGTTTTTAAAGCCACATAATCCACCTTCGCTGTGAATGTTAACACCGCAAAATAAGCAAACAGCCTCTAAGCTTAAAACGACCAGCATTAGTAGCCCTAGGGATCTACATAAAGCTAGTATAAATTTACTCAATTCAGTAATCTTCATTGCATCAACTTCATGGGTATGGCTAAGTTATCTAATGAAGCCTTGAGGGACTAAGTCCTCTCGGGACCAGGTCAAGCATTTGCTCTCTCCTCCACTCCCTTGCCAGATTCAATCTGCAGAAGATGGCAAAAGTTGCCATAAAGCTAAGATGGAAAACACTGGTTTTTTGGTTTCCGGTATTTTTAATGCTGGAATTTGCAATGCTTATAAAAGAACAGTATTATTATTATTATTATTATTATTATTATTATTATTATTATTGATTATAATGGCAAGAGGTTGAATCTGGAGCTGCCATACTACAAAGAGAGGAGCCTTTTCTTTTTGCTGATTTTCCCTTCATCTCCCCACAACTGTTCCAGAGCAGATCTTCAGTGGGTACAGGGAAAAGAGGGGAATCAGCAAAGAAAAAAAAGTCACCTCTTCCTTTCTTCCTTCAGTGTTCTGTAAGCAGAGTAACACTGACAGGAACTCTGGCTCCAAGCCAAAATAATTATTGCAAAATTTTATTACTGCAATAAGTTGCAATAAATAGTTGAAGAATATAAAGCTCTTTATATTAAAGTCTTCTGGCACATTCCCAGCAAGCATGAATGGGAGGCAATCAGCACACAGAGAGAAAATCACAGCCAACTATTCTTCATGCTGTGCCACAGACACTTCAGAAATTGTTCCCTGGAGAAAAACAAAAGTGAACTTGATTTGTACAAGACACCAGATTTCAAGGACAGGCAGACCTGGAGTTTGGGGACTTCAGATAGTATCCTTAAATGATAAAATTATCCTGGATCTTTAATATTTTTGTTCAATGTTATTTGTACCAAAATTAAGCTTTCTGAAGCTCAGTTCAATTCCAAGCTAATATGCCATTATTCTCTCAACTATCACCCTAATTTCAAATATAAAAGGTTGTTAAAGAGTATTGAATAAACTAGCCTGCATTCCCCTTTCACCCCACCCCACCCCCAAAAATCTTCCAAATTACCATCTCTAAATTTTGATAGCAAGTATTTGATTGACAACAATAAACATGGTTTATGAAGCTAAAAACAAGGATTGGGACCAAGTACTCCTCCCTCATCTGTCCCCTTGCATGCTGCCTTCACTTGTCTGTTGCATCCAAACTGGGAAACTCTACCTTAATGTCAGTTAAACCAATAAGCCAGGATCAGAGCCTGACTTATTCTCTTTTATCAGCAGCAACTGAACCACAATATATGCCTTGGTGTTACTTCCTAGCTTCATAAACCATAGCTGAAAAAAATGGGGAAGTTTGTCCCAGCCAGACCAGTATCTGCATGGCAAAGTGCACCTACGCATTTAGTAATATCCATACTAACTTAATGCACCATGGGAAACATTTCCTTCAATCCATTTCCTGGTGGTTATTTGAAAAATTGAAATTAAAGTTTAGTTTCTGAAATTTGAACATGAAAACATGTCAAATTAGGACTTCAAAGTCTGAATTGTACTATTTAAAGAGAGGTCAGATTTCCTAAAAATACCATTTCAACTTGTAGCGCTAAGAACACAAATAAGAAGAGTCTTGCTGCATCCAACCAAAACACCTTTCTAGTCCAGCATCCTTTCTGCCAACCTAGTTGCTCAGATGCCTATGGGAAGACCACAAGCAGGGCATGAGCATAATAGCACTCTCCCACTAGTATCCCCAAGAACTGGTATTCAGAGGCATACTACTCACCTGGCAGGCTGCAGGACAGGGGGGAAAGAAAGGTGTGCAGGGCCACTCAGTCAACACAGCTGAGAGAGCAGCAAGTTTTGACACCTGCTCTGTTGGAGCCCTTCCACTGCAGCTGGTCATTAGGAAAATTTGTAACTAAGATCTTCACCTACCTACCTCCCAATCCGTTTTCCTTTTGTGTTGTGTCTTTTTCATAGATTATAAGCCTGAGAATATGGGCTGGCCTTTTGAGCGATCTGAGACTTTGTTGGCTGACGATGGGAGAGACTTCATCAGGCAAGGCCTCCTTCCACCTGCCTTGCTCCACCCTCTAGTCTCTGCTTCTCAATTTGTATTGTATTATTTTATGTACCGTGGCTTGCCATTGTTTTATTGATTATAGTTTAGAAATTATTTATTGTAACTGTTGAGTGGATTTCTGTTTAACTTTTATATGTTGATATTATTATTTTATACAATTCTAATGATTGTTGAATGTTACTTTTTTGATGTAGGTTGCTTATTTTATAGTTTTGTTTTATTATCACATTTTTGTATTGCATTAGATTGTTATAAGATGTACATTTTTTGTTTCTTCAGCTTGTAAACCGCCTTGAGTATTGTAAGACAGAAATATGGTATACAAATTAAAAATGGATGATGATGATGAATTAAAAATATTTAAATAAAGTATTGTCTCCTGTACTGGAGGTAATATAGCCATGAAGGGTGTATTCTTCATGCAGTCATTACCTTTTATTCCCCATGAATTTGTCTAAATTATCTTAAGTAAGTGCTCTCATGGTTGTGCAATGTTTTCTTTCCCTGTAACCAATGACTACCTGTGCAAAACATTACATCAGCTGGGTTTTGCACTAAAATAGACTCCCAGCCACAGTTCTTTCCAGCAAAATCCTTATTGATTCTTTTCATTGTTAACGTAATGTGTTTCACATACACAGTTTGATGAAGTAATAAGCTGCACGAAGATCAACACAGATTACATGGCACAGTATCTAATAGTAATGTGGCAGAAGAATGCATAGCTTTTGAATATGACTACTCACATGTTTAGGTAGGGCAAAACCCAGCATGCCTTGCTCAGACTTTCACCCATGTCGTAGGCCTCATTCTCCTTCCTCTCAACTGCAGCACCCCTAAATCTGCTGAGGATGGTCCCCCAACCACCAAAAGTAGATATTGGAGTTACATGGGAGGAGAGGAAGGGGAAGTCCTGCTGTGCAAGCAGAAGTCCTTTCCACTCATGCATGGACACCATTGGATTGAAGCCTAAGTCTTTCAGGGAAATCATGAACAAGTTGTTCCCCTATCATCTCTTAACTTTATTACATACAACTATTAATATACATCCATACAGGCGGCCAAGCTTGTTACTTTTAACCCTCCCTGGCTCCTTCCCTGTGGAACGCCCTCTCTTCAGATGTCAAGGAGATCAAGACCTACATATCTTTTGGAATACATCTGAAGGCAGCCCTGTATTGGGAAGTTTTTAATTTTTGATGTTTTCCTATGGTTTATATATGGTGTTAGCTGCCCAGAGTGGCTAGGGAAACGCAGCCAGATGGGCGGGATATAAATAATAAAGTTGTTGTTAACCCTTAAAAGCTCTAACACAGCTCCTGGGTGTCTCATGGGAGGGTCATTTGAAAGGCAGTACCTCATCTTTGAAATTCTCTACCTACACACTGATGAAGTC